TTCTGGTTGTAATCATCGGATTTTCGATTGCAGCTATCGACTCAAGCCTATCAAACAGAGGTTGGTCACTGCGACACAGTCTTTTTTTTCCGTGTGCCTGAGATCGTTCAGTAGTGTAGCCAACTCGAAAAGTAAATCAATGAAATACATACAAATCAAGACCGTCCCATTACCTATGGCCAAATTGGTCCAAATTGAACGTTCGAGGGATGCGTTTTGTTCGTCTCGGTGAGATACGACCCGTTAACCCTTCGGGTTATAGACGAGGGGGTGCTCACTCTAACAACATGTGTACAATGAATTTTTGATTTTTTTGATTTTTGATTTTGATTTTTCTTTTGATTTTTCAGCTATGAAAAAGACAATATCAGTAACATTTACAAAAATTTTGTGTATTTTCCTGTTTTGTGCCCATTATTCTTAGTTTTGGGTCATTAGTTCTCGATTTTTCAGATTTTTCTGCAAATTTTTACTTGATTTTATTTTGATTTTTTTGATTTTTTTTGGATTTTTTAAATGATTTTTTGGGGGCTGTACAATGATTTTTCGAAGTGAGCCCCCCCTCGGTTATAGACGAAAACTCGCCGTTATGAGTTATGAGTTAACTTTGGACAAGTTCTTTCAAACGAGCCTGTCTTGCGTTTTTCCTTGATTACTCCTAAAGAAATGGGATATTTGGCATTTTGACTGCACCTTTGTCTTCCACACAAAAAAAACCTTTCAAACGGGTATAAGGTTGATGGGGTTCCGATGCATCATGCGCTAACTAGCCTCCTAGCCTTCAGAACCCCGTCAACCTTGAACTCGTTTGAAAGGTTTTTTCGTGAGGAAGACAAAGGTGCAGTCAGAATGCCAAATAAACTATTTCTTTAGGAGTAATCAAGGAAAAACGCGAGACAAGCTCGTTCGAAACAACTTGTCCAAAGTTAACACATGGTGTGATAGAAACGACGATATCTTGCCTACACGCAGAGATAAAGGAGGAAAGACGCAGAGCACGTCGGACCTGGCGGCGTTGTCATCCCCGTGACGGTCGGTGACTTAGTGTCATCCCCGTGACGATCATGGACGCTGTGCCATCCCCGTGACATTTCGAGGAGCGGTGGTCATTCCCTGTGACTGCGCTTTCGGCGCTGTCATCCCCGTTACTCCCTGAGGAGTGTAGCTATTGGAGCCCCCCCCCCCCCTTTCTTGCCGATTGTTGCTATTTTTCAGCTTTGTACGCCCTCTTGTTTGAATAAAAAAACATGTTTAAACTTGTTCGGGAAGTTTGACCCGTATTGATTCTCGAAGCGTAGGGTCTGAGGAGTTGTTTTTGACTAAGAGTGTACTTCTATACAGAAAGACAAGTTTTTAAACTTGATTTATGTTTTTAAAACGGTAAAGTTCAAAAACCTGGGGAACAGACATTCATAATGTCATATCTTCACCAATTTTTGAAATTTCTGAACGCGCTTTGGCTTAAAATTATTATGGATTCATTCTACAAATGCACTACTTTTTGGTTTTGACTTTTACACTCCCCCCCTAATTATCCGAGTGCTTTAAACTTCAAAAATTGAGCCAGGGACAAGCCAAAACCGCGTATTTTGGCCTTTCCTGTCATCCCTGTTACCTGCTGGTGTCGAAATTGACGAAACTGAGATGTGTTCCTAGTCCACCTCGATCTTGCGCATGCGTTCAGACTCCGAACGATGTTTGTGTGCCTCGCATTCAAGGTTAAAGGTCCAGGGTCATTTATTTGACACAATTTTCAAATCCACCCATATGATGGCGCGCAGATGGTCTGAGCCTGATACTCGGAGGGCAATCGGCCACAGTTAACGATGAAGCATCTACTTACGATAAGCAACAGACGATCGTTACCCGCACATCGGAGGTCGGACACTATCGAAAAACGATACACCACAGACCATCTGTGCCGGAATACTAGAGATCTGTTGCAACTGTCGACACTGCATCTTAGAACGATACCCGCATAACATCTATCATCGATACGGCATGGACGGTCTGGCCACTTATCACCACACCATCTTCAAACGATACCACAGACATCACCGCTCATATGTCATCGGTCCGATGTCGCATCAGATTGTTTTCTGACATACAATTGTATCTCCCGAGAAACCCTTCGAGACCGTCGACAGACAACAAGTGATGTTATCGGCAGGATGACACCAGCAGATGACTGTATGACATACGGTCGAAAGACAAACTGATGTCTAGCAGATACCGGTAGGAACTATCGACAGACACACACTGCCCGACTTTAAACGGACAAACGTAAAGGAAGGTTTGACGATATAGTGTTCATGGACAAAATGATAATGATATCGAAAATATACCAGATGCGACACCGTCAGGATAACTTACTTTGATGTCTGGCAGATATCGGCCGTAGGATTGGTCGAATCTATTTCGATTTAAATCGAAAATCGATGCCAAGCGTCCGTAAATCGATTTTTTCTGAATCGATTCAACCCTTTTGAATAATCGAATAAATCGATTAAATGGTTTCGATTTTCGATTTTTTCGATTTTACAGTAATTTGTTCAATATTGCAGTAATTATTGCGAATTATGTAACCTGCAATAGTGTTTGCTTGCGGCACTAGGGTGGCACGGTAAGTTTGCGTGCAATGTGACTGACGCGCGAAGCGTCTAGACCTCAGCCGGCAGGCCACACTGCTAGTGTCGCTATCTGCCGCCGCTGCGCTGTAACGTCTCGCCGCTCCGCTCGGCTCCCCGGTGCACGCGTGCGTCTCGGTCCCGGTCTCACAAACATCGCGAGTCGCGAGCTGTTTTGGTTAGGTTGACCATGGCGCCCAGTGCACACTGGGGCGAAAACGGAATTTTAGGGTCAAAAGTCTAGAGCACTCAGAATGGTGTCAAAGTTGATATCTAGGGGTTTTGGGGTCTCTTAAAGCCTTTTCCGATATCCGTTTGCACCTCCAGGGTCATCCTGCGTCGTCGTCGGAGACCTCACACTGTTAAATTCCTACAAAGCATTTGCTTTGCAGAGCTGCGAAGTATTTTGCTCCTTTGTAACTACGAAGCATTTACTTTGCAATTACACAGTGATGCTTTGCAATTGCAAAGCAATGAAAACGCTGCAAAGCGTCGCTTTGCAATTGCAAAGTGTCACTTCGTAATTGCAAAGCATCACGTTGTAATTGCGAAGTAAATGCTTCGTAGTTACAAAGGAGCAAAATACTTCGCAGGCTTTTAACAGTGCACGAGGTCGCCGATGACGTCCGCTAAGGAAATTGGTACCAGGGGGTTATCAGTCGCGCTGAAGCCATTTCCGGTGTCTGTTTGCACCTCCAGGGTCATCCTGGGGTCGTCGTCGGGGACCCCACGAGGTCGCCGATGACGTCCTCTAAGATAATTGGTAGAAGGGGGTTTTCGGTCGCGCTGAATCCATTTCCGGTGTCTGTTTGCACCTCCAGTAATTTTCAGAAAAAACTCTTCGGCGACACCATGACGTCGTCGGCGAGCCCATGGGGTCCTCGCTGACTCCAAGAGGTCTCCGGCGATGGCCCTAGGATGACCCTGGAGGTGCAAACAGACACCGGAAATGGCTTCAGCGCGATCGGAAACCCCTCGGTACCAATTTTCTTGGGGGACATCATCGGCGACCCCATGAGGTCCCCGACGACGACACCAGGATGACCCTGGAGGTGCAAACGGACACCGGATATAGATCTGGAACATCTGAAAACCCCCGTATACCAATTTTGAGTGTTCTCTGATTAAATTAAGACCGTCTCCGTCTGAAAAACTTGTAAGAAAATGAGATTTTGGTCAATTTTACCGCCATTTTGAGAGAACATTTCGCTACCCGTGCTCATATAGCCCTGAAAGTAGGTCACTTCTACTAGCCTCTGACGGTCGCAGAAGTGTTTGCAAGTGTTCGCAACTTAAGATATCTCAAGTCAAAAACAGCACAAACGCCAATTTTTATCGAAATTTAACAGGATTTAAATGTTAAATGAAGATAGTTTAACCAAAAACGAGATGGTCTTTAGACTTCTGGGACCTTCCTCTTTCCAACGATATCTGGTTCAAATACATTATCTTTTCGGAATAAGCGTTAATTTTGGGACCCCTAACACAATTTGAGCAAAAGTACATGAATTCCACTGACTTTGAGGCCTGTTTTTGCATAGAAAGCGGCGCAAAATGTGTCTAACAAGTACAGGAGAGTGAGCTTTGGCCCTTTTTGAACAAAATGGCACAGTTGGCTGAACTCTAAACTCATTCTGAAGGAATCGCCGTTATGACCCTAAATTTCCATTTTCGCCCCACTGTGGATCGGCCCGCTGCGCGATGAAAGTCTTCGCCAGGTACGGCCACCAGGAAGGTTTCCTGCGAAACGAGGAAATGGCGGCCCTTGAACTCCTCCACGAAACACTGGAAGAAAAAAGTGAAGCAGTTTACATTTATGTACGCACACCACCGGAAGAGTCACAACGCCGGACCGCAATGCGCGGAAGGACGGAAGAGAACGGACTTACGAGCGAATACTTTGTGCGCCTCCACAACCTGATGGACGAGTTGCTCCTCCAGGACGAAATGGCCCCCGTCATCGTGGTGGACGGACTCCTCTCCCCGACCGAGCTGCTCCTAGAGGTGGACAGGGCGATCAAGCGGCACCTGCTGCTCCGCCGATAGTGCTGCCACGGACTGTACCGCGCGCCAGCCTCGGGGCGCCGAACCAAGCAT